CTCTCACCTTTATCTACCAGCTCTCATCCTAATAATAATGTACGTGTCGAATGTTTTAATAAAACCATTTGTTCACTACTAATCAGTGATAAAGTAATTATTGCCTATACCTGAAAAAAATCAACATTAGTTTCACCAAATCATGCATATAATTCGTATAAAGAGGGCTAACAATTTGTCAAAGATGACGATCAATGGCAAAAATAACTGCAACTATTGAAAAAAATCGGCGATTAATCACCAATTTTGTAGCGATTTTGAGGACATAAGGTAAAGGAAGGGCGCAAATAAACGATAGAAACAATCAGTGTTGCGGAATAACCGAATGCTAGCGATGGCATGACACATTTTCTCAGTGCCGTGTGCACATGGTAAAAAAAGAGAACACCTTTTTTACAGCTAAATAAACGTCAGTTAAAAAAACCCAGTCACTTCCTTTCAACAATATATGCATGAAACCGCTGACCACTGACAAAACAAAAAAACAACTTCATATATTCAAGTATTGCTTTTATCGTAAGTAGACTGGCATCATCGTTATCGTTACATTTTGATCTTATGATAATGAGTATCCAAGAATTACAAAAGACTAATGGAGAATAGAAATAGCATGAAAACAACAATGTATTACTTGAAATGATAAGCAGGGTGTGGGTGTGGGTGTGGGTGACGGTGCTTAGAGAAGTACAGCACCGACCCACACACCCACACCAACACTCCACTGAGAGGCACCGTTTGATTTCATATGATACCTATCAAGAATCTAGTCAAAACTCTATTTCAAATGATCTTTTGTATTTTTCTTTTTGGACGTCATATTACAGATAAAACTTGAGGTGCATCTGAATCCTCCTTATCTACATATAGATTGAGTTAATTTATCTATCTCATAGAAAACAAAAGTCACAAAGATGATGTAAACGTTTTTTAGGAACCATTAATGGAAGAATATTCAGTTGCTGCTCAAATATGGAAACTGTCATCAATTGATATGTGTGAAATAGCACGAAATTCTGTTTTAATGAGTGGTTATCCGGATGAAGTATCGTATCACAAGTTGCTAGTTTTAGAAATATCTTTTTCTATGATTTAGGTTAAAAAAGCTTGGCTTGGAGTAGATTATAAACAAGCTGGTATTGCTGGTAATGATATGCATCGTTCAAATGTACCAAATACTCGAATAGGTTATCGGTATGATGTACTTTGTGAAGAACTTCATTTACTTAAAGTTGCATATCATAGTCGACAAGAAGTTATCTTATTTCATTTATAAAGAATAAAAAGCCAACAAATATTTTCGATTTGTTAAATTTTGATAGAAAAATGATGGCGTACATTCATTTTAATTGATTCTCATCGAAACGATCGAAAATAATCAAGTAAGATAATAAGAAAAATCTCTCATTAAACAAAATTTTATTATCTATCGGAATGTCTATTATTTACCAGAAATTATAAATACTACCTCATAATCCATTTTTTATGGATAATTCTACAATTATGGTCAATTGTGGTAATCAAATAGGGAATTTAATATAGGATTTTTGCCTTATATATAATATAATCCATACATATATCGATTCTGGTCACTAGAAACAGAGAAAAAATCCGAACAAATTGAAGTCTTTAAGGAAAGAAATAAACTTATATTTTTTGGTTGTCAAACTTGAAGATTTTCATATGAAACAAACTGAAATTAATAGTCTTGCAAAAAAGGAAAAGTTAAATCATTGAAAGTAACACAAATAACTAATGTTCATTTGTTAAATATTGTTTATACAAAATCGTACATAAAGTTTGTATAACCAAATCCATACAAGAAGAATTATTTACAACTAAGATTTTTAAAAAATGGAGTCAATCAAGAAATAAATTAAGTATGAATCATTCTTTCATTCTCTAAGGTTTAGAAGTATATCTTGTTAAGTGATGCTTATCTTATTTACATCGTATGCGTCCTATCATATACTTGAAACAGAATTCTTAATTTGAAAAATCCTTCAATCAAAATTCCTGTTTGATCATCAGAATTGATCATAAATGTTGAATTATCCACACATGTGGATATGATATGAAGATGACAATCTATGGTTGTACTTGTTTCATATTGTTATTTTGAAAGACTTTTATTATATAAAATCAATTATTTCTTTTATTCTAGTTCACAATAAACATAAATTTAATTCGTGATCCAATATTTTAGAACATTAGTAGTTTTTTAGTCGTTAAATATTTTCCATTTTACTAAAAAATTATTTTATTTTATTCTAATAAAATACTAATGAACATGATATCACTATTTATCAAACAAACAATAATAGAAAGTACTTTACCGTTTTCCATTCTCATTGTTCTTGTGTATTTTTGCTCTCATCAGAAGAAATACTTCGATAAGAACCAACAATAGTAAAAACAAAAAGAAAATCACTTAAAAAAAGCTTATTAGTGCAGTTCTCAAGAAGCTGAATATTGAAACTCATATATATCATTCATACTTGTTGTCGTAATATGTTATCTGTTGATTAAAGTCGTTTT